ATCCTGCATTTTTCTGGCCAGTAGAATAGTATTGACACACATGACATGATTATCTGTTGCATTGCACTGTTTTAGAAATGATATTGATGAACTGCTTTTAAACTTATATTGCACATGCAAGTGAGCTTGGGGTGGAAGATCCTTGAGGACCCCTTGTCTTACTGAGATTTCTGGTTTAGAGATCTCACCCCACGTTTGGGGAATGCTTATTTCAGGTTCAAGTATTATGGTGACTGATGCCTCTGGCGGCAGGAGGCCAGAGCTTAGCTGATTATGATATTTATGCTGTATTGCTGACATGACTAGATTGGATGCTATTTATGTTTTCTGCTCTTTATGTTTTGAGTTGAGACTTTCTATTGGGCTTTGTTGCCTTATTTGGGTGAGCATGAGAGTTGTCCATGTCATTGTGTTGTTAGTACTTTTGAGTTTAGTTGTTTAAACTGATAGTTGGTCCGGTCTACGTATTGTAGTTCCGTGACTAGAGACATACATTATGTTATTTAATTAATGAGGTATTTCAGTTAGCTGTTTTATTGCAATTGCATACAGGTGATGTTTTGAAAATGATTAAGTAATCAAGTTGGTAATGATTAATGACATCATAATTGAAAAGAAAAAGATATTCCGCAATTTTAATTAAGCGCAGCTTAATACGATAACATGATAACATTACCGGATATATACGGGGTGTTACAATATCCACATATAACTCTAAGAAAACTTTCCATGATTGGTTGAAGAATTTTTCCATTACCATATCCATGTCTTCATGATCCATAACTTGAAAGCCCATGTATGTTCAGATTGTCATAATCTTGCCATGATCAGAGTGATAGATAGGTTACTTTGGAGAGCTAATTTTTGACGAATTTTCTGATGTAGTTCGCCAACTATTGAGTTCTGCTTGATACGTGTTGGCCTTTTTTTGCATTCAAAAACTACATCACGTTGACCTTCCACTTTCCTACCATTATAATATAGAACAACATGAATAGAATCATAATGTGATTTCATTCTTAAATATATTAAAAAAACCACAAAAGAGAGTATGAACAAACAAGTGATAATGTATGTAAGAGTAGGGTTTATGATGGAGAAGAGTTGTAAAAAATGTGGAGGAAAAAGTTTAAATAAAGGACAAATGGGTTAATCGCGTCCAAATAATGCAAGTTAGAGTCTCTGGTCATGCCCCACTATGAGAGCAAATATATCATGCTCCCGGACCAATGCACCTAGAGAGAGTGGGGGGAGGAGAGAGGAGAGAGAAAGGAAGAAGGAGGAGAGAGAAGGTGAGGGGGGAGGAGAGAGGAGAGAGAAAGGAAAAAGGAGGAGAGAGAAGGGGATCTGGGAATTTATTTCCCCACTATGGACATGTCTCTCTCCTCTTAACTTACGCCAATTGCAGGGCGTGTCTCTTTCCTAAGTCACGCGGCTCATGCCTTATTTTGAATGTGACTAAATGTAATAGATTTATATTTAATTTCAAAACAGCTATCTTTTCGTAAATAGTTATTAAAATAGCAATACTTAATTTTTTTTTTTTGCTTACCTTTCTATATGTTGTAATCGTTTTATTTAATTACAGTATGTTATAATCCTGATTCTATTATAAAATGAGTTTAAGTTTAATATAATGTGCCTAAAATTTTGTTATAATTATATCTAAATTTTTAATAGTTATAAACAAAACTAAACTAATTAATTAATCAGAAAAATATTTCTGCAATTAATGCAGATAAGTTATCTGTATTTACTTCCAAAATGATGTCGTTTTGTGATTGAAAGATTAGAAAATTATAATTATAATAACCTTGAAATAAATTAAAATTACAAAAATACCATGATTTTTATCTTAAAACGACTGCAGTAAATGCAGAAAAAACGAACTCTTAATTAATTGTGATAATTTTAATAAAACAGAAAAATAAATTCTAAACTGGGGAATCGCTTTACGGACTACAATGCATTACAAAAGATCACAATTTGAAGGAAAGTTGTTTTTAATTTTTTTTTCCTTATATATATACGAGGTTAGGTAGTAAATTCAGCAACTAAAATACTTTTTTTTAATAGATACTAAAATCTAAAATTAATACTTTTTTAGAAGATGATGCAAGCTTGAGACAGACACGTGGAATACGTAAGGCATCTGAGAGAACCTTTGATTATGGCCCAGTTGGACTCTTGTGATAGTCATTAAATAATTATTTCATTTTTTATTTTCAGAATTTGCTGTTGACACGATCTAAGTGTATATAAATAACAGAAAAATATTTTGTAATTAATGTTGATAAATTATTTGTATTTACTTTTAAAATGATGTTATTTTAGAATTAAAATATTATAAAATTATAATTATAAAGACTGTAATAATTTTGAAATAAATTAAAATTACAAAAACATCATGATTTTCGCTGCAAAACGACGTTGTAACCGCAGAAAAAGTTAACTTTATAAATAATATCATTTTTATATAAGTTTTTTCTTCACTTTTTATAAGAGTAATTTTCATTCAAAGTATCAAGGCTGTTATTCTTTTCAAATATATTTTTATGCAAATTTAATTCCTCTATTTTTTTTACATAATATAATATTATATTGTCGTATTTTTTAAGATGTCGAGAGTATACGAATCTTCTGTGTCTGCAATGTTCTTTCCATCAAAATTCTATGCCAGACGAAACATGGCTATATATATATGGGTTTTCGTTTTATCCTTTAACATAACACAACAAACTTTTCTACACTCATAATATTTTATGGAGCCCAACTTTTTAAAACAAAAAAATAAATAAAAATTTAAGGCACGCAAAACGAATTTCTATAACATTACACAATCACTTTTCCTACAACATAACTCTTATAAAACCCTATATATATATGAGGAAAATGTCTATCATTTAAAAGAACCATCCTTTTAGATGAATGTAGTGCTTTTTTTAAAATTTTAAATTTTAAACTTTTCCCTCCACTCTCTCTCCTCCATAGCTTGTTTCTCTATCTCTCTTAAAGGATATAAGTGTGTCCTTTTAAAGGAGACACATTTTTCCCTGTATATATATATATATATATATATTGTTGGGAAAAGTTAAGTTTACAACTTTTGTTATTTATAATTCTTATAAATTTCAATTATATATCCTAAGAAATACACTCTCAAGTATATCTGCTTCCCGAATACATAATTGAAATTATAAAAATTATAAACAAAAAAATTATAAACGCAACTTGGTCCGTATATTTATATATAGATAGATGGATAAATAGAGAGCAAAGATACGATTTATAATAATAATTAGTATGTACCGTATACACTGTATAAATATTTTGAATTCAAATCAAATTAATAATGTATAAGTTATTAGGATTGATTTAATGATAAATTTTTAAATATTTTACATAAAATTATAAGTTCGATTTTAGTACTACCATTATATCAAAATAATAATAATAATATGTGCATTATAATACAAAATAGTAAAAAACTTATTGCTATTAAATATGCATTATATTAGAATTTAGCTTTGTAAGTTATCAATATATCTCACTAGCTTCAATTATATTTTTAATGTTATTACTATTACAGTAAACAGTTAATATTACAAAATATTTGAGTAAATACCCTTTTGGTACTCAGTAAATTTTACGATACTCGCTTTAGCCCCTAGCAAATAAAAAGGCAATTCGTGGTCCTTGAGAAATTCAAAATGGACCTATTTAGTTGAAACCGTAATCTCTCACAAATTCAAAAAGATCCACATTAGTCCCTCAAAATGACTAAAATGGATTCAATTTGAATTTCTTAGGGACCATAAATAGCCTTTTTATAGATATCGTAAAATTTGCTGAAGATCGAAAATAGTATTTACTCTAGTTTTTTTCTTATTTTGAGAGCACATATACAAAAAAAAAAAACAAACAAACCAGACGACAATGTCTTTTTCCCTCTTCTACTAAGGAACTCGAAATCTTTTTTTGTCCTGGATTTTTCCCTTTATGCGAATATTAGATTGTACCCAAGGGCCTATTTGGTGTGACGTATAAAGCCTGATAGTATAAGCTTATACTATACGTTATGACATTTTCAGCTGTTTGGCGTGACCACCGTATAGTATAAACTTATACAGCAGGATCCCTTAATACATCAAAACGATGTATAACTTAATCGCCTAAGGGGGAGGGATAAAGCCTGATAAAAGGTTGATGTATTAATATCATTAACCAGTGACCAGTGTAAAAAATTAATATAATTTTAATATTAATATATTAAAATAAAAATTAATTTTTCAATATATTAATTTTTAAAATATTAAATATATTTTTTTTATAAAAATTAATTTATTTTTTGAACACACTGATCAATAAATTTTTATAAAAATTATTATTATATTATATTTTTTAAAGAATTATATAAATTCTTTATTAAAGGATATTTTTATTAAAAATATTTATTTTTATATAGTATTATACAATGTATTACCAAATACTAAATGATATTATCTTATACAATATATTATTTTATACAATACCGTGCCAAACGCTAGATAATATTAAAATTCAATCAGGCCTTATACTATCAGATCTTATACTATCAGGTCTTATCCTATAATATGCACCAAGCATGCCCTAATATTTAGAAAGATTTCGTGCCAAAATAATTGCTAGTTTGGAAATCATCTCATAACATTTTTGAGAAGATACTTCTGTTTTGTTTTTAAACACACACACACAAAAAAAGAAAACAACTTATAGTGTTTACATATTGTTTAATTTTCTAATTTTGAAATTTTTTTGAACCATAAAATCACTCTGTATTAAACCCCAAATGACTAGAGGCATCCGTTAATGACATGAATAAAATTATATTTAATTGTAAATCACTGTCTTCTCTACATAGAGGGCAGAGTATAACGATTCTTATACGAATTTTCATTTAATTGAAATCGCTACTGTAAAAAAAATAAAAATGTAATTTTGAAAAATGATTCCAAGAGCATTTTTCCTTTATTTTACTGTACATTCAACAATAATGATTATCAGCATATGAATTGAAGTTAGTGCCATTACACAGGATGAAAATCCTACATTAGTAATATAAACATGCCACCACAAAGCTTATTACCTGGGGCTGGCCAGGAGCACAGTTCAAACCTTCAAAACTTTATATTACATCTATGTGCAAAATTGGTGATGAATTTGCAAGTTTGTTGAATGTTGACTAATCATTTAGGCCTCACCAAGTAAGATGCCCATATCTCATTGGCTGGAGGAGGAGGTTGAACCCAGTGCCCTGGTATGCGGCTGCACAAATTTGAAAGGGAAAAAAAGTAAATTCAAATAAGATACTCAAATGCTTTATTTTCACTTTTCACACACACTGATATAAGCATACCAGAATAAGATATAAGCAAACTGATAAACTTGCACGAAACAGAGGTGTCAAGGAGTTAAGATAAGGAATAAATATCAGAATAAATTCCTGTCGCAGCTATAGCACTAACATGTGAAGTATGGGCAGAGGTATGGGAGGCGTAATATTATGGTGTACAGATCATTAGTGTTATAATATATGGTGACTTTGGTCAGAGTCTTGATCTCTCATGGATATATTTTAATGACAACCTCCAATTTTCTCTCTCTTTTCACTCAGTTATGAAATGCAATCTAAGAAAGATATGCCTAAAGCAGAATATTCATTAAAAGTAACTTCGGTATGCCCTTAAAAATGAGTGTAAAAAATTCATCGATGAAATTTATATGTAAAGTTACATTGAACACTCATCCCTTAATTTTTCACCCCATTTTAAGGGTATACCAAACTTTCCCTGACAATGAACTATTAGCAGATTCTTCGTTCTTGTTTCTTACCTTCCTCCAGGTCTGATATAGGCATCCCATCCTCTTCTAACCTGCATGAGATTATAAAGCAGCCTTAACAACCAAGAACTTATAATGAACATGTAAGTGAATTAAACATAAGGTGATAATGATAATAATAATATTGATGATGATGATAATAATAATAATGATAATAGTAATAAAAGTAGCATCATTAGGCTATTAGTGCATCGGTTGTAGAACTAGCAGCTTTCATACCGAGAAAAGATCTACTAATTACATATGTATTCTAAGGTACAAAAAGAAGAGTGGTGATTTGCAAGAGATGTAGAATTTAATTAACAAAACTAGTTGAATTACCTCGATTAGTGTGCCCATGTCATTGTTGCTTCCATGATAATAATGATAGAACTCAATAGGTAAATTTGCCAAAGGATCATATGCTGCTCCACAGCTCTGTCCTTCAGATGATATTTTACTAGATTTCTTCTCATCAGCTGCACCAGAGCCCTCTTCAGTTACACTATCAACTATTTTCTCTTTGCTCTCCTTAACTTCAGTATCATCATTGCTTCCCTTTGAAAGTTTCCCTTGATTCTGAATAGCTTTCCTGGATTCCTCAGCAGTTGCAATTGCATCTTTAGCAGCATCTGTTTCAGCTGCAACCAAAGCTTCGCGCTCCTCTTCTTCCACTGCAGCCTGAACTCTCTCAAGAAACTTGTCATCCTCCTCTGGGAGAAAATGGCCTGCATAAATTGTAAAGAACCATAGTCACGTTAAGCATGAAAGGAAATTAAAGGTGGCGTATGTGAAATAAACTCTTTCATACACAAAATGTGAACATTCTGAAAGTTTCCAATTAAAAGCAAGTAAAACCATGTCTGTTATATTATCAAATTAAAAATGTATGGTTTCCAATTGATAAATAGCAAATTTGTCAAAGGCGTTTCTCATGATACATTTATAAGGTGAATAGGAAGCTATTCAGCTCTAAACAATATGCTAAACATCAGAGCTTGAACTCAATCACACAATTTATAAATGAGATCAATCACAAACCTGCATTCAGGAATAAGAATTTAAGGTAATTGTAAAGAACCTTCAGGTCACCACCCCAAAAGCTAGCTCAAAGGATGAGAGTGCCCAAGACCTTATAAACTCCATATTAGTTGCATATACAACCAATATGGGACTATATATCTCAACACACCCCCTCACACGAGAGCCCATTGGGCTTGAAGAGTGGACAATGCAACAGGCCCAGCCTACCTGTGCTAAGAAACGCCACAAGAGAAAGTGAGGGGCGGCGAGACTCTGATACCATGTAAAGAACCTTGAGGTCACCACCCCAAAAACTAGCTCAAAGGATGGGAGTGCCCAAGACCTTATAAAGACCACATTAGTTGCACATACAACCAATATGAGACTATATATCTCAACAGTAATAAATTATTATAAGAAGTTCAAAAGTTAATATGGCGGCAAGGGTGGAGAAAACAAAGCCAAGCAAACCAACAAAGAGTTTGAGTGATAATATGCAGCACAATCACGACACAACTAACTTGAGCGGAGTGATTTTCTTATGTATACCTTGTTTTTTCAACTTTTGTATCCTTATTGAGCGTAATTCTTGAAGCTTCTCCACTATCAAGACAAGCTCTAGCTGTGATATAAAATGATGTAAGAGAATTGGGTCAATTGACACCCGACAAGTGAGGAGTGAGGTGAATAAAAGATAAAAATTCATGATCCATACAGATTGAATAAACATACAGATGGAGTTGAAAAGCAATATGCTTCTTTATTAATAGACTTTGTCACAAAAAAGAGAGGCACTGGACGCCCTTTGACAGCCTCAAAATGAACAAAAAGGAAAGAAAAAAGAAAATAGAAAAGACAAGAAACCAGCAAAACAAGGAAAATGATGGTTAGGAGCTAAGGAACATACCATGTTGAAATTAAAGGGAAAAATTGACATGATTTAGGTAGTTAATGAACACATTAGAAATAAAAGCCATGACATATATGAAATGTTTGACCAATTTCTTCAGTATTAACAGCAACCATACTTTCGCAAAGATTTACCAGTCATTTGTACAAAGAAATCTACCTCATGCTCTAGTTTCTTCTTCTCTTCTTTGGCTTTAAGCTTGGCAATTTCTTTCATCTTTGCTACCTTCAAATAGACATGCTTCAGACATTACTAAAACTTGCATTGCAAACTGATGTGGCCACTATTATATCTATAAGCAAATTCCCAAACAGAATGAATCACTAGTCTCCTTCCCCATTTTCAGTCAATAAAGAAAACATAGCGGTGAAAGTTCGAAATAAGCAAGAAAATGGGCGCAGCATGTAATTTGAAAGTTGAAACAACATGCAGAGATGTGCTATCAATTAGCTCCACACTTTATCTGGATTTATATAGGCATAAAACCAGTACAGTAACAGGGAGTGCACTATTGTAATGATGATCAAAATACTAATACTAACAATAATTATGAGAAGTTAACATAATTGACTAATAGTTCATATTTATTCAAGCATCAATCCTTGAATTTTGTCAGAGACAGTAATCATATATCTGATTTTGATTTATTTATTTTTTTGGAATAAAATTGAAATCATGTTGACCTCGTCTTTCATTTAGCCTTTGGCAAAAAGAAATTACCAAATTCCGTCAAAATAAAAAGTAGGTATAATTTGCAAAAAAAAGTTCCATACCTTGCTGTTTGCAATGTCCTTGGCAATCTCCCTAGCCCTCCATTCATCAGCTTCTTGATCAATTTGGTCAAATTGCTCACGCTCCTAGATTTTTTTAACAAAGAAAGCAACCAAACAAAGTTATCAGTTTCAAACGGCAGTTACAATGAAGGGCAAGGAAAGATTCTCACAAAAACAAACCAAGCAAAGTAACCTTTGCCAGCATTTCCGCAATACGCTTCCTTTTTTTCTTCCTCCAGAGTTTATTCCTTTTAGACTTATGCACTTTATTTGCAAACCTAGCCACTGCAGATTTCTCCTCCCATGGACTTACTTCATCGGTAACATATCTAAATGGCTCCAGCTGAGCTCTTAGCTTTGACATCAAAGAATTAGCTGCTTCCACAGCCAATGATTCTTGGGTTTCTATACTAACCCTTCTGTCTTCCAGACATTTTAGAAAATCAGAAAGATAAGGTTGGTTTGAGCCATGTTTTAAGTCTTCTAAAGACCCTTTACCATCTTTAATCATCACCAACATCTCTAGCTCCTTCTGCCTACAGAAAATAACATCAAACTAATTTCACAATATCAAATAGGATGTACCAAATTTAATGGGTTTTTGGATTAGCTTATTTTGTGTTGAGAAAAGCTTATAATCATAATTTAACTGAGAGAGCTTTTAGCTAAAAAACTATTAGAGTAAAGATTAAGGTTAGAACAAAAACATGTACTAAGTTGAAATAAGAACAACATACATTGCCTTTGCAAGATTGAGGGTAACTTGCAATTCTCTGAGTTGATCACACACATTTATGTTCTCCCAAAAGGAACTTGAATTTGGTGGTTCAGGTGGTAATATTGGAAACCGTGGAGGTCCAAGAGGAGGTGGTTGTGGTGGTGCAGATTGAAAATGAATCGGATTCATTGCTAGCATTGAGTATTGTGTGATTCACAGACCCAAAAAAAGAACCTAAATACAAGAATAGCATTAGCAAGAGTCAATAGCATTAAACAAGAACAAAGAGGAAATACAAATGATTTGTAAAAAAATTGAAAATATTAATCTTGATGAAATGTGAAATTGAAACAGACAAAACATCTACAATTAAAGACATCTATATCAAGAAAAAAAGGTGCAGCCTAAAATCAATGTTAAAATATTGTGATACAGAATCAGATTTTATTATACTGACCCTCCAATCATGTTCAGAGTAAAACTGCTGAAAACACAAAACTTTAGTTTCACTCACACAACTCATCAAAAACAGAATAAATTCTCAAGTGTGTTTCTCGCAAAATAATGAGCTGATAGGAGGAAAACGAGAAGGAACAAGAAGAACAAAGGTTCAGGATGGCAAAGTGGTCTAAGGCACGATCCTCAAGTTCTTTTGGCATTTTACAGTCTTTAATCCCTAACAATACCTAATAAATTCCAACTTTAATCCTTGGAATTCAAGGAAAGCTTTTCTTACCACACTAACATAACAATTGTGGCTTAATCACTCAGAGAAAAAGAGAAACATTCAATGAATTCACTTCCATTATACTTCACAATATTAATTTAGCTATACAAAGGCATTTAAACTTGGAATTCAAACTCCAATCCTTATGAATATTTGTACATGATATGTAAGAAATCTTCCAAAAAAATCCTCCCTCTCACCCCCCAAAAAAAAAATTATGGATTAACTTAACCAAGCCAATCACACATAACTCAAGGTAGATCCTGTGGATTTAATCTCCTGAAATAGTTGAATATATGAGCCCCGATGAATCTTGCATGTGAGGTAACTCAAACTGGCTAGAGTATATATACCTAGATGCTATGTTGCACCAACATTGACACGACACGACACTCCGACACGTTATGACATGTTTTGATATTAAATAATATTTTTATTGAATAGTATATTTAATATTCAATAATTTAACAAAAAACGAAGCTAAACTTATAATACCCATCAATTTTGCAAAGAAACATAAGATATTCCAAATATTTACCTTAAACTCAATAAAATGGTAATCGTAATCTAACGAATCTAATAGTTGGAACTAAAAAAACGCAATGCAACACAATCTTTGAACCCCTTTTTTGATTCTCTGTAATGCATGTTGAAGTGTCGGACATGACACTTCAAGTTTTTTGAAGTGTAGGTGCATCATAGCTTAGATGAGCAGAGCTCACACATAACTCTTGAAGAATATCCAAAGGAAGCAAGACTTCCTACCAGTATCATATGCAAATAACTCCAACACCTTCAGTGAGAAAGTCAAAAAACTTTTTTCAACCTTACAGGAATTAAAAATATATATTTAACATTCAAGAGCCCAAAACTATAAAGTCCAAAACTATAAAGTACAGACACACCATTCTAGTGCCACGGACACATGTCCAACACAACACATTGAAAACACATGCTCGTCACGAGTCCATTTTTTTTTTTTAAATGACTCAACATAGCGAGACATGGCATAGACACACCTATTTAAATTTAAAAAATAATATTATCAATCATAATAATAACAACACAAGATTGGGTCTGTTTGAAACTTCAAGGAATTTTTTACTCAACATCAACAACATCTTTATCCCAAACCAGTTGGGGTTTTAAGAATTTTCAATAATTAAAAAAATAAATAAGGCAAGGGTACTTTTGTCACATACCAAGTTCATTTCTACCAACTTTTTCATTTCGTTTTGACACATATGACATATATCAAGATATTGTAAATATTGAAGCTTATATACATGATATCATGAATTATGAATCTTTTTCCTTAAATTATCAATCATATATATATATGTGCATACTAGGTCCTTGTTCTTCAACTTTTAAAAAGCATTTGTGCTTCACAGGTTCAAACCAGTTAATGATAAGATGTTCAAATTACCATGATCCTAATCCATAGGATAATTGAAATTCAATACCAAGAAACTGATACTTAAAAAAAAAAAACCACTTCCTATTAAACCCACACTTGCAGAAAAATTATAACAATGCTGTTGAATTGGATTTGAGTTTGAAACCACACTTTATGCTTATCAACGCATTCCATCACCAAGTTGAGAATGGGAAAACAGTGAAATGGCTCTCTGATACGATCCTAGTTAGCAAAAGGGTATTCTGTTAGAAGGTGTAACACATGCAAGGAGTGGAATTGATCCAGCCTAGCTGACGTGGCTGATGGGGATAACAGAATTGGAGAGATTGTTAAATAGGGTAGTGTGCATTGGTGTAAGGGGGATCTGAAATCTTTGGCAATTGCTTGGGCCCTTTTTGGGATTGGGAGAGAGTGGAACCTCTCGTATGTGTTCCACACTATCTTACTTTTCCTTGCATTGTGATTTCTTTCTGGTTATTGTAATTTCTTTCTGTCACTGTAATTTCCTGTTTTCTACAAGATAGTTGTAAACGAGTCTTTGTGTAATCGTTGTTATTTCCATATATAAAACTATAATATTCAGATCCATATTGCTGTGTTATTTCCTTTAATTCAGTACATCAGTGGTTGGTCTGTATCACTTTCCTTCCACATTCAGTTTCAGATCCTTAAAATGATACAAAGTGTTACCAACAGAACACATTCAGTTTCTTACGTTAGTTACCAACAAAAAGGATTCACATTCAGATACCAACAGAAGTTCATGTTAATATGGTACCTGCTGATGCTGAGTAGAGCTGACAACTATTGGGCCAGCTCGCAGCAGTCCAAGACACTATTGGGCCGGGCCAATTTTATTGACACTGACAATTTGCTAGCCCAATCCAGCCCTTTGCAGGCTGTATGTTAAGTGGGTGGGCCGCTGTTCCATTTTTTAAAAAAATTTAAAAATAAATTTCACTTCGCAACCACATCAATATATAGGAGGGAAACCTTGACACAATGGTTGGTGTTGTTGCCATAAAGGTCACATGATCAATTCATGTAACTAGTCTCTCGCAACTGCAAAGTAAGGCCGCCTACTATACAACTACACAATTGTTCTGAAACTTTCTTGGACATTGTGCACTAGGTTGTCAGTAGCGGCTCGTAGCGCCGCTAAACCGCTACAGTAATGGGTAGTGGCCGCTGGCCGCGACGCTACCCGTTATTTGACATTGATTGTGGAATTATGTGTTTGATTTTGTGGAATTCATTGTTCATTTGTGTTTAAATCCCGTTATTTGACATTGATTGTGGAATTATGTGTTTGATTTTGTGGAATTCATTGTTCATTTGTGTTTAATTTTGGATCCTTCCTTTATGTTCCTTGTATTTGACATTGATTGTGGAATTATGTGTTTGATTTTGTGTAACTTCTTATGTTTGAGAATTTATATATTATACTGTTAGTATAATATATGTGGAATTAATACTTCACCGTAGCTGCAATACCATTACCCAATACACCGCTATACCATTTTCGCCATTTTCGGGGTCAGCCGCTAAATGCTACTGACAAGTATAATTGTGCATCACTTCATACATCCAGGATGTCCTTTTTGTTAACCACATTAATATATACAGAATGTACTGATATATATAACATCTATATCAAATTTTCATTAATGATGAAAGGCATATTAGGAATAAAGACAATAACTACAAATCAAAAGACTCAATGGAGTTATATATCAAAAGGAAAAATTGGGCAATGGGGGCACAAGATAACAGAGAAGAAGATGTTGCACAATCCAACATTCTAACCGTAGCTGAGTACAGCATGTTTCAAATCTCAAGTACAATAACGGAATGCAATGAAGTATGAACATCTTATTTCATTAATAAGACACACAGATAGGCCAAAGTAATGATTGAAAGGAAAAATAATTGAACATATATGCCTCCGAATGCAAAATATGAAAAGTAGCATCCTATGACTGAGACAAAACACAAATTCATCATACATTTGAAGAATTCCACTTGCAGGCAAAATGAAAATGGGGACGAAAAAAAATAGAAACTATCTCATGTACGAATACACAACCACACAGTGAAGCTCGCTGGTACTCGTCGCTGGACGCCGGTGCTAGTCACCAGCAGAGTGATAGTCGTCGCTCTCAGCCGCCGCGGTTGCTTTCAGCTGCTCTTTCACTGTGGCCGATCACAAGAGCAAGTGTTCTGAACTTTCCATTTAGGAATTTAGGGGGTAATATAATAAAAACCCCACAAAAGGAGAATTTTACATCATAACCACTCTTAGTAAAAACAAAATAAAAACAAAAAGGTGCCAAAAAAAAAAGGTTTCAAATCATTAAAGCAGCAAAAACATTTTAAATGAGGAGTACATTTTAAAGATAGTTTTATCCCAAGGTTTGTCTTTTTGAATATGTTTAAATACATGAATTTAAAAGTACTGAAAATATAGGTAGAGAAGCTCATGACAACAGCTGCAGATATCAGCCAGTGTGCTTACTTTTGGTCTTTTAAAAAACTTTCAAGCATGTAATGTGAACCTACTCCTGCGATGATGTGTCACTGAAACTATTGGAGAATAAACCTATAAGTTATAATAGTTAATACTAATCATCTTTGCTTGCTTGATTCAAGAAACACAGCCAGTTGTAAGAGTATCACTTCATTAGGGCATTTCATCGATCACATACAGGACATCACAAAATTGGTTCCCATTAACCCACACAAATACAAATCATATATAAAAATAATCTCCACATTCCATTTACCAAAACAAATGCTTCGAGATAAAAGACAGAATTTGGAAATGTAGTAAAAATGTGAAAATCACAAGACTGGAACAGATAAAGTTTTACCAACACTGTTGTAGTTGATGGCAGAGAAGCAGAGTAGCTTCGAATCTGCGACGAACGTTGTTATGCTGCTGAAAAATCTAATCTTTCTTTGCAAAAATCTTTTTCTCAATATCTTCACCCTTTGATTATACTTTTTGTATCCAAAAGCTCCACTCCATTAGCTAGCGCAGCAAAAAAAACTTAATAGATCATTCGGTCGGTTGGGTGTTCAAGATCTCTTTCGGATTGCAATTTAGCCTTGTGTCTTTGGGTTTGCAATTCTATTTTCTGGTAGAGCCTCGTGTGCTGATAAGTGTTATAAAATTAATAAAAACATTAATAAGAATTGGAGAGTAGAGATAAGAGAGAATTGTTCTATTGTCACACACTTATAATGATGTCTGAGAAACATGAAAATAAAAGTTATAATAACCGAAATATTAATCTAACGGTGATACTATCTTCAATAGCCCTAACGTCTCCGACATCCATAATTTATGTCTTCAACGTTCATAACGTTTTCAACAGTCATAACAGTTATATAATAGATATGGACAACCAATAAATTATTTATAACAAATAGGCTTTTTTTCTTTTTGATAATCACAATAGGCTTAATTGATTGTTTTTTGTTTTTGATTTTCCTTAAAATAATTTTGTAATTTTTTTTGTATTTTGAAAATTTAATGTCAAAATATAAAACAAAAACAATTAAGATATATATCCTTATGGTTTCTTTTTTTGCAATTAATGTAGATATATTATCTACATTCGAGCTCAAAAAAAATGTCATTTTGGGAAAAAAAATCAAAATATTTATAGTTATAATTTATTTCAAGATTATAATAGTCTTTCTCATTATAATTTTTAATCTTTCAACTCAAAATAACATTGTTTTGGAAGTGATAATAGATAACTTATCTACATTTACAGTAGATATATTAAATCCTATTCTCTAAATTTGATTCTAAAAATTAAAAAAAAATTATAATTTTTAAAACTATTTTTACAAAATTTATCAATCAGGTATTTTTTTGTTCTGAAAATAAAAAAAAAAAAAAATTCGAGAAGAAAAGTCAAACCGGCCCTACGTAGGTGGCCTAACCCGTTCTTTTTATTTGGCATTATTTTGTTAACAATTATTTTTTAATTTTGGTAAATTCCAGGTAAATAATGTCAAATTTTTCTAACTATGTAGTGATACCAGGGGTGCTAAACGAGCTAGGGACCTTTCAGGGATCTTTGGCTTGACTCGTGAAGGCTTGAGGTTACATGTCTAAAATTGGTTGTTGGCACCAGACTTAAACTTGTATAAAAGCTCGTTTAATAAAAAGGCCTGAGACTCCAATTCAAGAGCTCAGCCTTAGTGCCTCTTAGACTGGCCTAGTATATTTTTTTATTTTTTATTTTTTATACTACTTGTAATAGCCCCACTCTGTTTTCTCAATTCATTTCAGCCCATTTTATTGGTTAAACATAATTTTTGAATGATTTTATTCTATATTATGTTTGGATATACCTTGAATTTATGAATATTTATGAAATTACTAATGTTATTGATTATATATTCTGTTTGGATAAATTTTTATTGTCTTAATTTTTTAAAACTTACTAACAAGCTAAATCAGACTTTTATTTTTTGTAAATAAGTCAGGCCATAGACCAATAATTATATTTCTAACAAGTAGCAGGCTTGGTTAGGGTGACACATTTAAATACAAGCTTAGTCTTTTAAGAGCAAAGCGGTTCGACTCGGCCCGTTAACACCCGTAGCGATACCCCCTTACAAAATATCTAATTGATTTTTAACCATATTTTGAAAAAGAAAAAAATTATTTATCATTTCAAAAGATATAATTTTATATCATTTTAAGTGAAATAACTCTATTTTCTTTAAAAAAATTGCAATGAAAAATTGAAAATTGTATTTATGTTTAATAGTTTTTACGGAAAATTATATTTACAATTTTTTTTATTATTGTTGAATTAAAATCAAATTGACGGTTATAAAATGATATCAAATGAAACTCATTGGTTAGATTTCGATTCAATCATTAAAAGGTGATAAAAAAAATATTTTATCAAGGATTTAATGTTTCTTTTTTACACATAAAAAATGTGTGGATTTTCTCCTCTTAGGCTTTACCCATGTCCATGTGTGGTACATGTGGTTGGGGGAGAAATATCAATCCCTTTTATCAAACCTTAAATAAATTTTAGTGCATGAGATCACTACAAGTCTACAACAAACTGCAAGATATATATGATCATTTGATATACGTTAAGAAAAATTAACTAAAATTTAAATTCCTTATTAATATCAGATAAGAAACATTTCAATTATTGATTTACATTAGCATCTTATGTGGCAAATTCTTGATGGCTCCAATCCAACAATATAGTTAATGATAGTATTTTATATGTGACCATTTGATGGAGATGGATGCTATAATAATTTTAGCATCACCACATCATTTAAAAAATCTCAATCGTTAATTTAATAAATTAACATTCTCCCATCTGATACACATTAAAAAGACCCAATTAAAATTTGATATACTTTAATATGAGATAAGAAATATGGAGTTAATTGAAAATTTGAAAAGTAAAAATAATTAATTTGTTATTACTTAAATTTAATAAAATCATTTATAGGTAAGATTTGGATTAAATTTAATCTTAAAAAAAAAAAAACACAACAACACCGCTTAAAAATAGGGATTGGGAATATATGGAATTGTAGATCCCACATAAAAAATTACAAAACTAACTGAATTTGAAAAAGGGTTTGCTTTTTCTATAGTCGATGTAGATAAGTTATTTACATTGAGCCCAAAACGATATTGTTTTGAAGCGAAAATCAAAGTATTTTTATAATTATAATTTATTTCAGGGTTATAATAGTATTTTTCATTATAATTTTTTAATTTTTCAACCCAAAACGACGTCGTTTTGGGAGTGAATGTAGATAACTTATCTACATTCTCTTTAGAAACATTAAATCCTTTAAAAAATTCCTCAATAACCTCATTTATTTTCTCGTTTAATTCAAATCTTACAACTAAAAAAATAGACCTTCTTGCTGTTTTTGGGAAATTGCCTCTAGGTTGATGTTGATTTATAAAATGAAACTAGTCGTAAATAACTTGCAATTAAGTTGCTTTACTAGCTTCTAACTTATATTAGCCAACAAAATAGTTATTATATTATATTCCTTCTAATGGCCCTTGCTTATTCAAGTATTTGAAAATAGTCTATTGTATGATAAAGGGATAATCTCATGAGATATTCTTCCTAATCACTAAATCAAAAGAACAGTTTTATAGAAATACTCATGAAGTGATTTCCCCTATAAATAATAGGTGAAATCCAGCCTAATTAAACACGTTAAAACTTTTCACAATGGAAGATGAAAGTTCATGCAAATCAAATCATACCATAGTTATTGGAAAGTGAATGGAAAAGTGTTTATCATTTTAAATGACAGAACTTATATCTTTTCACTCTCATAAAGAAGTGAGACTCACACCTTTATTTTTTTTGTCAACTCTCTCTCTTCCTTTATCTATCTCTTTCTCTCTCTTAAAATGACACAACTTTACATCCTTTAAAATGACACACACTTTACCCATATTGATATTGTTTCCTTTGTTGGGATCAATAATGCTTGTTGTATTGGTAATTTTCAAGCTATGCAAGATGGTATATTGAACTTATGATGTGAGGCATTTGCAATGCTGGATTGAATTAGATAAACTAAGAGCCTGTTTGGATGAGCTTTTTCTTCTTCAAAAGTTACTTTTTCTAAGAAAAAAAGTAATTTTTGTTTTTAGTTCGTTTGGATGTCTGCTTTTAAAAAAACAGAAGTCACAAAAAAAGTCAAAAATTTATTTTTTTTAAAAGCTAAAAATTTTAACTTATAAGAAAAGCAGAAGTCAAAAGCCAAATATTTTTTTCAAAAACAAAATATTTTTATAAAAATATAAATAAATTTAACTTATATAAAAAACACTTCTAAAATAAGAAAGAGATAAAAATTACTTTTTAAAAAGTCCAATCAAAGATGCTCTAAATATGCAGCCTTGTGGTGTATTCTAGCTGCAATTCAGATGACGCCCATCAATATTGTGAGGTAATTTTATTTTTTACTTCATAATTAATATCTTGTCCTGGTTTTAATCACTTCAGTCAATTAAGTGATCCATTTGAATCTATTGTGCAATTTCTTTTTTTTTTCTTTTTTTTTTGGAGGTTACAAGGAATTGAACACAACACCCTACACTACACACACTCCTAACACACACACCCCACACCACTAGGCTAACCCTAGTGGTGCTATTGTGCAATTTCTTCTTAACTAAAGCTAATTATTTTATAAGAGTAATTAGTTAATATTATAAGAAATTTTTATAAATCAATTTTTTTAAGTTTTATAAATCAATTTTTTTTACTAAAATCTTAAATTTTATTTTATGTCAAATTTTTTTAGGGTAAAATAATAATAAAAATTTTAGAATTTGAAAACCATAGTATTATCAGGTTATACTATATTCATTTTTTTAAAAAAATTAGAAATTATTAAAGATTGTCCGATAACACAATACTATCAAGAATTCAAAATAATATATTTTGTAAAATAAATATAAAATACGTGTAGAACAGAATTATAGGCATTATCATATGAAATAAATTCAAAATATTAAATAACAACAAAGTACTATAAATTCAGGAGAAATATTATATTTAAAAAAAAATATTTATAAACTCTTACAAACTTAACTATGTATAGTACATAAACCAACTTATGTACTACCTTAGTACATAATTAAATTTATAAATAAAAAAATTTATAAATATAATCTGCCGCTTAATTTAGTCTGTGAAATTTTCTATTCATGATTAAGTTTAGGTTTTTTTTTTTTAGAAATATGTATATGCTCGAGAAGCGTTAGGTGAAATTAGTTCTTTTCATCCGAAAAAAATAAAAATAAAAAAGCTCTTTTCCTTCTTCGTAAGTGCAGTCCTTACAAATATTATTATGACTCAACCGTTTATTATTAAAATTTAGAAGTGTTTATCAAATTAATTATCTAAAGAAAAAATTAAGTAAGAAATAATTGTCAACCGTTAATCATAATATAAAATACTACTTATAGGTTAAAACGCCAGTCGTTTAAGATTTTTGTACAAAAATCAAGAAAATGTAAATATCTTTACTTTAAAAAATAATTATTTTAATGAAATTGTCTTTTTATTTAATTAGCACTCTTTCATTTTATTTGATAAATATATTAAAATATTTATTAATTACTCTCTCGTTCCGTAATGT